ATAATTGACCCAGTTTGTTAGAAATGAACACATTTCTGCTTCTTCCTGTTTGTGCAACTGACCGCAAAATTAAGATTATTTATTATGTTTATTTGTGTTTTATGTATATTCTTTTTATTTTTATTGTCTGTAAATGTACAGCTGCTGGAAGCCTTGAATCTCCCTCAGGGATCAATAAAGTATCAATTAATCAATCAAACAATCAATCAATCAATCAATCAATCAATCAATAAATCAATCAATAAATCAATCAATCAATCAATCAATATATTCATTGTGTTGTAGAAAAGTTACATTAACCTGGTAGTTGACCATTTTTACAGTGAGAGCATAACGCTGCAAAAACAGCTGTTTATATCAAACACTGCTCATTTAAATATAGTTTTAGTTTAATTTTTATTCTTAACATTTAAAAAGAGGAGGACCAATGAATGAATAATGAATTAAAACAATCTGAAGATGTGTTAATTATGACAGCTTTACGGCTGTGTGTGGGTATGGGGGGCTGGGAAAGAGGAGAAGGAAACAGATGCAAGGATCCAAAGGCAACAAGGAAGTGGAGGAGGAGGCTACTGAAGCTTGTTTCCATGGTAACCTGCAGTGGAGGATGATGGAGGATGGGATGAACTGGAGGGGGTTGTGACGACGTGTATGTGCGTATGTAACATGGTGGGCTTGTGTCTGGATCAAAAATAATAAAATCAAATAAAGGTTTTGCTTCTTGATGATGATTTCTTCTCCCTGATCCTGATGAATCAGGTGGTTTTCATTACGTCACCGTTTTTACCTCGCCCTGATCTAAAACACACTTATTCTGAAATCAGTTAATTATTACATGAATTATGTCCTGAAATACTATAAAATACTATAAAATACTATAAAATACTAATCTGCTAAACCCCAACTAAAAACAGTTTCATGGTTTTTGTTTTTTTATTTATGTTTTAGATTGTTTTCACCGTTCTCCTGTGTCTTTGGGATTTATTTATTCATGATGGAGGTTTTATGTGAAATGAAAACACTGAATATTAAAATATGACCTGAGCAGGATGGTTTCTGAGTCCCTGTTTGTCAAGAACTATTTTTCCATCCTGGGTTAGGGTTAGAACAAAACAAACAAAACAAAAATGTTATTGTGTTTTCATTTATTAYCCATCAAAGATTTATTAAAAATAATGTAAATGATAGGTCACAGAAACCTGACCCAGGATGAAAAACAGAGCTTTTGACAAATTTAGAAACCCGTGGAGGTATATTTAACAGCTGGAGCGCCCCCTTCTGGCCTTTTGATGGAATTAAACACATTTAAATCAAATAGGATTATTTTTTTCTTGAAAAAGAAATTGAAAAAAATTCTAATAATTGCTAATTTCCCTCTGGGAACAATAACCTAATTTCCCTCTGGGATCAATAAAGTATTTTTGAACTGAATTGAATTGAAATGAAACAAAACGTGCAGCATGCCTCAGATTACCTCTATGATAACACCAGTAAAATAACTGTTTGTGTTATTTCTGTTTGTTTTAACTGTACTTTTTAAAGCAAGTTAACTCACAAAAGGACTAAATGTTGAAATTATTTATTTAGTTTTTAAAAGTTTTTCATTGTGATAAATATAAGGAAGTCATCTGTAATGTCATATGTGCCCTGGCACTGAATTTATGTAAAAATAAACAAGAACATAGAAAAGAACATTTAAACAATCAATGTTTATTTTAATGTAAACCCACTTGTTACATAAAACTTATAAAAATATAAACCAAAATCAATTTTTAATGTGTGTTAATTTAAAACTTCTAAGAGTTAAACACAAATACATCATTTTAACAATGAAGCACTTTCTGTCATTTCTGAGCAACACTAAAAGTTCAGTTTATTCAAGAAGAAAATGCTGATTCAACTGTTGAAGTTAAAATCTGCAAAACAAAACCATAAGAACTGTTCTTTATAAAACGGAAAAAACCCGTTATTAAAAGGTAAATTTAGCAATACCAAGTGGCTATATTTATCCAAACAGTAGCTAAAATATCTATGCAGGTAAACTGTAGCCAATAGCCTAAATTTACAACAGTTACAAAAGGCTAAATTAGCAAAACAGTAGCTAAAAGTTACACAAACACAAAATAGAGTCAGTAGGTTAGAACGTGACTTTTGAAGAGTTCTCTGTGTATTTCTATGGTGGAAAATGTTTTAATTAAAGTTTATTCATTCAAAATGCATAAATATTATGAATACTAAAAGAAAAAGCACGCCTGAGCTGAACCTGTTGATATATATATGGTGAAATTAGCACTTTAAACAGGAATATAGCTACTAGTGTGAATGCTTTATGGGGAGTATTTCAAAGTAAAATCTAAATTTTATTTTTTATATTTTTTGTAGTGGTTTTACCTGATGTGTTCCCTGCAGAATATTTTAATAGTAACACATTGTGGGAATCAGCAGGAAACTCACATTTGAAGTCCTGTACAGGACTCAGGAATGTCACATTGGTCTGTTTCATCCACATCAGGAAGCTCTGCAGGTTTTCGTCGCAGTGGAATCTGTTCATGGAGAGGTCCAAGAAGCTGAGAGAGCTGAAAGCAGCGGGATCAGGGGCGGCGATGAAGTTYTTGGACAGGTTGAGAGACTTCAGACTTTGGGGTAAAACGTTGGGCTTGACATACGTCAGGGAGTTAGATGAGAGGTCCATTTGCTCCACGGAGGTGAGGCCCTTGAAGACGCCTTGAGGAAAAGAACTCAAGCCGTTAAAGCTCAAGTTGAGGCTGGTTACGTTTCCGAATGTGTCGAACAGATTCAGACATTTCCTCTGACCCCAGATGGACTCCAGGGAGCTGCTATGAAGATCCAGAAACCTGACATTGTTTGGCCCAAACTGCCTGTTGATGAAGCACCACTTGATGGTATTCCCGCTGTATAAAAGCACCTGCAGGCGCTTCATCCCACCCCAGAGCGTATGAACGTCCCCCAGATTCATCAGACGGTTGTTCTGAATGCTCAGAGATTTGACGTTGCCCGCGAGCCGAATGAGGCTGATCACTGTCGACGGTGAAATGGTCAGCTTATTGTCGTCTAACTCAAGATGATCTAAACTCAGTAGGGATGCGGGAAAACCCAACTGACGCAAGGAGTTGTCCCTCAGGTTCAAAGATTTCAGGTAGGGGAGTTCGATGAATGAAGCAGAACCTAGAACACCGATGTGGTTGTGAGACAGATCTAAAACTTCCAACTTTGTCAGGTGGGCAAACGTATAGGAATAGATTTCTCCGAGCAGGTTGTGTGACAGGTTGAGTGTTTTCAAATGACCCTGAAGACCTTCAAAGGCCTTTTTGTGTATCTGGTTCAGTCTGTTTTGGGAAACGTCTATGGTTTCGACTTCGGTGAGTGGACTGAAAACCCCCGGCTGCAACGCAAATATGTAATTTTTAGATAAATCCATAGACAGGATGGAACTGTTCCTCAAGCCTTCAAACGTACCGTGGTCTGGATCTGGGAGGTTCTCAAATGAAAATGATCTCCCTACATGCCCTGAGAGTTTGAGGTGGGATATCTTTGTCCCTTTGATGGCTTTGAAGAGCAGTTTTAAATTATCCAGGGCAAACCCATTGTCAGACAGGTCAAGGGTGTCAAATGATACCCCGTTGAAGGGATTCCCACATTTCTGCCAGTCGAAATTCCAACTCAGCATCGCTCTGGGGAAGACAGAGTCCAGGCTAAAGATCCTAAAGTGCAGTCCTTTGAAACCAGCAAGATCAGGCTCACAAATTTGGTTAATGCTGTTCAGCTTTAGGTTCAAATTTGTCAAATGTGTTAAATTCCTGAAGAACATGGAAGGTCTAACCCGGTTTATCTTGTTACCAAAGAGGTTCAGAGTCTGCAAAGAGGTAAGTGGCTCTAGGTAGTTTTCAGTCAGTATCGAGTCATTACGCTGGCAGTTATTCAGCTGGAGWTCCTGCAAACCGGAGAGTCCGGCGAAGGCCTGCGGCTCCAGTTGAAGGCGGGAGTTGGAGTCGAGCACCAGCCTCCTCAGGCGCTTCTGTCTGCTGAAGGCGTTGTTCCTGATCACAAGTGGGACCAATTGGTGTCCGAGGTCCAGCACCTGGAGCTCTTTCAGGCCAGCCAGCGAGGTGGCGTTGATCTCACGGATGCGGTTCATGTCTAGGAAAAGGTGGGTGATGTTGGGAGGCAGAGGAGGAACCCAGCTGAGGGTTGAAATGGAGCAGTGGGCCACTGAGCCTGCAATGCGGCATGCTGGGAAACAACCGGGCATCTGAAAATGTAAAACAAAAGATTCATGAATTGAGTTTTATTTATTTTCTGAATTATTAGTGAGTTTAGACCAGTGGGCCCAATGCTGGTCCTGAAGGGCCACATGTTTTAGTTGTTTCCTTGCTTTTCAACAGTTCTTCTCCTGTTAATCACTTATTTGTAAAAGCAAGTGAACATGCAAGATAGTGGGCCTCAATGACCAGGATTGGGCACAGCTGATTTAGACATAACACCTAATTTCAAATTATTTTATTATGAATTGTGTGCAGAAACACTGGCTATAACTACAAGGAAGAATTGTTTAAAATGGACATCACAGTACAACTTTAGTGGGCTTGTTTCATTAAAACGTTCCTCTTTAATAAAAGTAGCTCTTCTTCTGCTTCTCATACGAATGAATGAATGAATGAATGAATGAATGAATGAATGAATGAATGAAACTTTATTGATCCCATGAAGGGAAATTACAGTTCAGAACAACCCATAACACAGACAGTTGTCTACTTGGGTTTTAGATATTTGTGTTGTACTTTACTCTGCCCTGGTAAGGTCTATGTGGGGATTATGGAGAGGAGGGTCCGTCGGATAGTCYAATCTCAGATTCAGGAAGAGCAGTGTGGTTTTGGTCCTGGTTGTGGAACAGCGGACCAGCTCTACACCCTTAGCAGGGTCCTGGAGGGTGCATGGGAGTTCGCRCAACCGGTCTACGTGTTTTGTGGACTTGGAGAAGGCGTTCGACCATGTCCCTCGGGGACTCCTGTGGGGGTACTCTGGGAGTATGGGGTACCAGGCTCATTGATACGGGCTGTTAGGTCCCTGTAGGACCSGTGCCAGAGCTTGGTCCGCATTGCCGGTAGTAAGTCGGACTCGTTTCCGGTGAGAGTTGGACTCCACCAAGGTTGTCCTTTGTCACCGATTCTGTTCATAACTTTTATGGACAGAATTTCTAGGAGCAGCCAAGGTGCGGCCAGGATGAGGATCAGTGCCTCCAAATCCCAGACCATGGTCTTGAGCCAGAAAAGGGTAGGGTGCCTTCTCCGGGTCGGGGAGGAGGTCCTGCCCCAAGTGGACGAGTTTAAGTATCTCAGGGTCTTGTTCATGAATGAGGGAAGAATGGAGCGGGAGATCAACAGGTGGGTTGGTGCTGTGCCTGCAGTGATGCGGGTGTTGTATTATAAGAAACCATTTAAAAATACAGCACAATAACAGCAATTTTATTACTTAATTTTGGAATATAGACCGATACTTGAATAAGATTGGTGGAAAAGATTGGCTTCTACCTTCATAAAGATCTGAAAATCAGGCTCAGCCATTGTCCCCCCCCCCCCTTTTTTTTTTTTTTTTGCTGTGAGCACTACCTATTGTCCAGTTAAAACAAGTTTGTATTGTCTCAAGGGTATTTTTCAATGTTTCTGGACATTTTAAAAATCGGAGGTAGAAAACTGCAATAGATGCATCTGTGGTTGAAACATTTCATCTTCTCCAAGAGACTTCTTCAGTCTGAGAAGTTGCAGGTAAGCTCAGCCTTATGAGCAGTACTTTCACCTGCTGGATCAACAAGTTTACTGATGGCAACCAAAATTGATTGTTCACAAAGCAAAAGAGACCATCAGCCTAATAACCGATCACCCTGATGGCCACGTATTGTTCACAGAGGGCTGAGTTATGCTTGCAATAACAGCATAGGGATTGACAATTGGACACAGAGGCCTCCACCTCTGATTAAGAGGACCCCAAACCCAGAGCCAGACCAGTGGTCATTTTGTATGTTGTGAGAGTTTCAGAGAAACTGAGATGTTTGTTTTTCTAAACATGACATTCCAGTGGCATTTCTGCAATGACTGGTTCACTACAAAGATTTGGTCCCCCAGCACAAACAAAGTAATATTGAGTATGCTGTTGGGTGACCAGTTAGACATTGGGGAAACAAAGCAGTCACTGTCCAAAAGGATGGCCCAGCACAGAAAACCAACATCATCAGATCAGGACTCTGTAGTTTACACTCATCTACAGACCAGCGGTCACCTTTCAGGGATGAAGATGTTTTCATCCTTGATAGAGAGGAACGTTGGTTTGAGAGAAGCGAAAAGGAAGACATTTTTGTGAAGAGAAACCACCCACTGTTAAACAGYAATGGAGGTCTCCATTTCCAGTTGTTCCTCTCTAACAGTACTGTTATTGAGAGGATGACTCAGTCRTCTGTGAACAAGAAGTGGCCATCTGGGCACTAACGATAGTTAGGCTGATGGTCTGTTTAGCACATGAACAACCAGTTAGATTGTTATCTTTAACTTGTTTGTCCACCATGTGAAAGTACTGCTTATAAGGCTGAGTTTACCTGCAACTTCTCAGACTAAAGAAGTCTCTTGATGAAGAGATGAAACATTTCCAACAAAAAACTCGACTAGAGGACCTACTCAACATTTTCTTTAAACACTTGCAAAAGTAAACTAAAAAGAAAACAGAAATGCTCATTAAAGACAGTTTTCTGTAGTTTCACAAATATTCCACACAAACAGATTTTAATGCATGTTGGGTTTTATCATGCAATAATAGTACGTACCTGTAGAAAAACACAGATGGCAACCAGCTGAATCCAGAGTGTCCTCATCTTCACGCTGCTTAAATAAGTCCACTTCAGTTGTCTTAGATTCAGAAATGATCCTGCCTCTGCAGAGCAGTCTACGGGTTTTTATTTGCTGCTGTTTTACGTCAATGTTCAACCAGAGCAAGAAACCCCATTTTTCAAACTCCAGATTTACAAAAGTCAGGGAAGTCCAAATGTCTGTTTATTGTCCTCTGTTGATGTTTAACCATTGGGAGTTAGGGAAGTGTCTATGTTACACAACTGGATTTTTTTTTTTCAGAAAATGTGCAAATGCCAAGTTTGAGTTGTGTAATAGCAAATTTTAATGTTGTATTTAACAATGCCTGGGAGTGGAGACACAAACAACCAATTTATATTTCAGTTTATAACATTGGTGTCTTTTGAAAATTATTTCAAAGCTCTTCCAATTGAAATAATTTCCTTTATCAGTTATCAGCAGAGTCCTGTTATGTTGCCAACAATTACGAATTGTTTGTTTARATTTGAACACAGACAGGTACACTTCAGACAGTCATGGTGGGTGTCAGATAATGAGTTTGTAAAATAACAGAGTCAAAAGGTACAGATCCACCGAGGGGTACCTTTCAGTTTAACACAAAAACAATGTATTCAAATGCAGTCGTACTCCAACAATGTCTGTATCTTTAACAAAATTATCTCACGGCCACACGTTGGTTTAACGCGTCGCCAGAAGTAGCTCCGTAATTATAGTCTTAAAGGGGAAATTCATTCAAAATTCACCTTTTTAGCTGTTAAGTGCATTTTGTTGTGTACTAGTATCTATAGGAGGCATAAAAGTTTCATTTAGTCTCTCCCTGTGTTGCAAGAATACTGTATCTTTACACTCTGTTTGGGTCATATTTTCCTCTCTTTTCCATGACGTTTCTAATTACCATGATTCAAATCCACTACAATTTGGTCGTTTTCATTGTCCCTTGGCTAAGRGTCAGACTTTGGCTCCAATATGTAAGGCTAGATGGACAAGTCTTCTGTTGTTGACATCTTTTAATTCTTTTGAAAATAAAACATTTCTGGGCTGCTATAGCACAGCAAAAWCAGGAGTGTTAAAATGTCAGTGTTAAACTTTTGGGAGTTGATTTAACACCCCCRAGGTCTATTTTAACACTTTCTGAGTAAACTGACACCCAGTGTTGGTGTTAATTCACATTGTTGGTTTCCTCAGTGTTGTCTCAACACTGGACAGTGTTAAATAAGCTCCGCCCACTGTTAAATCTTATATAACACTTAACAGTGTTGTTATATGACACCATGCAGTGTTGAAAGAAGTATTCTGAAAAGCCCCGCCCTCTTTACTCAGTGTTGTCTCAACACTGGACAGTGTTAAATAAGCTCCGCCCACTGTTAAATCTTATATAACACTTAACAGTGTTGTTATATGACACCATGCAGTGTTGAAAGAAGTATTCTGAAAAGCCCCGCCCTCTTTACTCAGTGTTGTCTCAACACTGGACAGTGTTAAATTAGCTCCGCCCACTGTTAAATCTTATATAACACTTAACAGTATGACACCATGCAGTGTTGAAAGAAGTATTCTGAAAAGCCCCGCCCTCTTCCACCTCACGTCAAACAGACCAGTATTTTCTCAGCAAGGCATGCTGGGTAATCCTGTAGAAATGATGTGTTTGTTTGTTTATGACTATTAAAGAAGTTCATGAGGGTAAAAACGAGTTGTTCTGGTTAGTTTTCTTGTTAGTTTGATCAAGTTTAAATTTGTGTTTTTGGCCAAAAATGGACACAGTGTATGTCCTGGTGTGTGAAGAAGGATGTCTCCATTATACTTTTCTACTGACTACTGAGCAATGTTAATGCATCACTACAAAGAGTTTGATTTTAACTCTGAGTGTTAAAGTTACACTCCCAAATGTATGGTGTATTGACACCTTGTGGTGTCTGTTAACCCTTTTAACACCATAATTTTATTTAACAAAAATACACTAGTGTTACTTTTAACACTATATTTTAACACTAACATTATTTTATGTTAATCTGATACCCTGTTGAATATTAAACACTGGTTGGTGTTAAATTAACAAAAAAAGTGTTAAAATTGAACACTTTCATAAATGTTATTTTAACAGCAGCATGCGTGGACACATATAGACACTGTTGGTGTTGACATTAACACTGTGGGTGTTAAATCAACACTGGTATTTTTGTTGGCTGTGTAGACAAACCCCTCTATCAACACACAACGGACTGTTCTGGAAGCTGCAGCGGGCTTTAAAGAGACAGCCTTAAAACAGGTTGATCTGAAACAGTTCAGGAAAAGGGTAAAACAGGGGCTCGTGGCGCTACAATAAGTAAGAATTCAGACCAAAGCATTGCAGTTCCACTTTATATAGACCRCAACTGAATGACTTCATTGTGAAAAACAATCTCTGTTATGTGTCTGTTTTGTGTGTTCGGGTGCCTGTGGGGGCTCAACACAACCTTTTGCCCTGACCCCCCTTCCTGATCAACACGGCCWTGTTGGAAATGTAACATTTCACTGAAGTAACCCTCATGTTTTTACCCTGTACCTATAATATCTTTATTTAATTTAAATAAACAGTCCTGAGGTGTGCTCGTTTATTATCAGCAGCTTTGTTAAAGGTTAAAGGGGTGGAAACACGGAGAGCAGTGACTTTAACGGTTCATCCTGCAGCAGCTGCCGGTGCTCACATGTCTGCACGGAAATAAATAACGGGACCGGTATTACGTCACAGCTCAGGTGGAGGGGGGGGGGGGGGGGGGGGG